CTGATAAACTGAGCGCACTGAGTTCGTACGGAGCTTTGGTGACTTTGAAGCACATAAAGAGAATTTCGAGCTGCTTCGCAACCCATTTATGTGGAAACTGCACCTGTGCAGATTCAGATGGAGCTGCAATGTAATGGTACACTCAAGGCAAAGTACAACACTGAATGGCCCGCCCAGTTTATTAGTTCCATTCCTGAAGCAATGCCCCAGCTCCGTCTACACGCGGCTCGAACCTTGTGTATGCTTTCATTTATTTTTTTTCTGGGGTTTTTGGCAGCATGTTCATATTTCTAACTTGCATAATTTTGACAGGATATATTTTTATGAAGAGCAAAATATTTAAAGTTTATTTTTTTAAAGTTTATTTATTCTGGAATAATATTCCTGTCTGTTTTTATTCATATTTATGTTTAAAAAAAACATTGTTTTAGTGTGTTCAATAAATGTTTATCTTGTTTGGCCCGCAACCTAAAGTGTGCAATGAGTTTTGGCTGTAAGAAGTAAATGCGTAAAATTACAGAAATTAAAAGGTAAAGGGAGAGTCGGGCTCTATCCTAGCAAAGTTAGAACGAATAAAGTGTCAGACAGTCTTTAATGGGCTACAGGAAAAATAAAATACAGCTTTTAGAACAATAGATTAAATGTAACTAATGTACTACTGACCTACCAATTTCTGGAAGAACTGAAAATGTGCACAAAAGCCCATCCTGTTATAAAGATATGCGATGGCATTTATGAGGGTATTACTCTGAGCTATGGCGCAGGTTGCACAGCAACGCTGCAGTTAAACTGTTATATTGTAAACTATTGCACAGGGCAGTAACTGATTGTCAGGTTTTGCAAATGCTGTTGGAGTGATTAAAAAAAATAAACAACGAACCACAATTTCAGGTAAAAAAATTTAATTGCAGTTCGAATCTCAGATTAACAGTTAAATGTGGCCATGAATCATTCATGTTTTCTTAAACATTTGGTCATTTAATGTTAAAAATATTAAAATAAAGGAACCCAATTAAAAGCAACTATTATGGGGGAAAAAAAATAGAGAGTCGAAACAGCTCCACTGAACGTTTGGTTTTTTGTTGTTTTTTTTACTTTAATCTGGTAAATTAATTACTTTTTGAGAATTTTAAATGACTGGTCTCTACTTCACTGGTTGACTTATTTTACAAGAAAAGTAAGTATCACCCTTCACAAATGACTCCATTACATCAGTGATGTGGAGCCTCATAATTCACTCATAACATATAATTAAGGTTGTTAAACAGTTCAAGATACTGAACACAAAACATACAATTAGATTAATTCTAGAGAACACTTCACAATAATTTAGCACGACAGCAAATAGACAACATGATGATAAGCATTTCATGTGTATGTGTGAGACAAACTGGTGGCTCTGGTATATTAATGGCCAACAAAGCATGGTGGATGACTCATTTTTAGCATTGAAGTACTTAATCCACCAACTAGTTGGTGGGTAAGCTACCAGGCTAACAGCTGTAGTTCAAGTCCACCCACAGGACAAGAGATCTACTGGAGAGGCAGCTGAATCCAATCATTTAACATCCACCATATTACCTAAGTGCCACCCCTAAGCTGATTTCCCAGACTGTCATTTGCATATCACCTGCCACAGATTAGATTCATTTTCAAGGATGTGGTCTCACATCCTTTTGAGTTACCCTAAAACCTCTTCCAGTTATCTCTCTTTGACATTATAGAAGACCAGACACTTAAGTAAAAAATCTGAAACCCTGAGTTTCTTGTAGAGGTTTGAAGAGAATTTCTGAAAAATCTCTGAACGTTTGAAGCTTTGCAGGTGGAGGATGGAAATAGGTATACCAATAAAGCTCAGTGTTAAGAACTCAGAGAGGATGTTGATATTCTTCCATCCACAGCTCATCCTGTTTGGAAGCAGGAACTACTTACTGGCTCCTTTCACCTCTGCTGACCAAGAACAAAAGTATCATTCAGTTAAAAATGGATTGAGGGCACCAGTGGTGAAGTCGGCAAGCTCTACCAGCAGAGTGCAAGACCCATGACGCCACCCCTCCATTCCCCTCCCAAGTCTCAGGCACCCTCACGCTATGAAAGGACCTAACATTACTGAGATATCAGGTCTAATAATGCCTCTATGCTTGCTTAAAATACACACGTTTGTGCAGACACTGTAGCAAAAGAGAAACCTATGTGGACACTCTGTGACAGGTACACTACAAGAGTGTTTGCCTTGTCACTGGCTGAGGGGCCTCTTCTTCCATCTGTTTTTCTGTGACAGGCCTGGTTCCATTATAGAAGCCAAAACTCAAGCCCCTGTGGGCTGAAGGTAAGAGTCCACGCCAACAATGTCATATGATTTATTGTAAAAATGCGTTGTCTCCCATTACCACGTTTATTTTTTCCTTCATGACAACGATACACTATTCCACAACATTGAGATCATTTCCTTACCTTTGGGCACTGAATCTGCTGCTGTGAGCGAGCACACTTGTGTTTGTTTCTTCACACACCTTCTTTCCTGATGCTGGAACCCACCAGCCTGGATATAAAAGGTTCTACTTTTGGAGTGTTTCTGATTCTAAACACATGATAAACAAATGGCCCTTACTGTAGTGACAAAATGCTCATATGAGACATTTCCTTTACACTTCAGCGGGCCATTGTGGGTGCATTAGCCCTGAGAGAAGGAGCCTTTGCAGCTGCAATATGTCTCACTAATCCATCATGATCCCTAACCCCCCCTTGCTCCACATACAAAAGACGGAGAGACTAAGAGAGGACAACTAAAGTTCAAGAGACCAGGAAGGGAAAAAAAAGAGAGGGGGACAAGCAACCTTTCACATACTTTAAGTCTCAAATGAATACATTAAGCGGTTTAAAATGTGTCACAGAGCATTTAGATTGCTATGAGTAGGACAAACTATGAGAACCAAAGACACCACAAGCTCGCAAACAACACAGTGTTTTCCTTTTTGGCATAAAACTAGCCAACAGAGTAGCATGGAGAGCAGCAGTGTTTTTCTGTGAAAACACTGCACCATATTGTAATTCAGATGTCATAATACAGTGGTAAACCTTTTATTTTGTTTTTACCTAGAGGAGCAAGTATGCCGAGAGGTTCAGCTGTAAGCCTCATGCGCCATGCAACCATTTCCCCTCTGTTTAGTTCACCTCACACCTTCAACAATGGGAATTTCAAGTGGTACACTGTCCATTTAGGTGCAGCAGGGCTTTGGCCGCCATTCTTAGAAGGCAGCACAGCAGCACAGAGGTTTCAACAAACAAGCCTCTACACTTTTCTGAAAGTCGCATGCACTTTTGCACATTTAACAAGGCCCAAACTCAAAATGGCTGTTCGTATGTGTGAAGCTCGAGTGTGTTTTTCACGCAGGAACTGGCAGAGTCAGTGACTAAAGAGTTACTTTAGTTTGTGATTAACCCAGAAGTTGTGACACAAACTCTTTCTTCGTGGGCCAGTCATCAACTGTATCTGCACTGCTCCATAAAAGACCAAACCTACCTGGTCTCTATTTGCTCAACTTGTTGTAAAAATGAGTGCAGCAGTTAAACGTAGCCAGACTTGCTGTGAGAATGTGATAAAGGAATAGGCTTGACTCCTTATTTTATTGTTTCAATCTTACAGTAGAGGGAACAAGACACTGCTGGCTACCATCCATGCATTACTCACCCAAATCTAGCCCTATTTGTGATCACAGCACTTGGTGCATTACTCGGTGATTCAGTCATTTTTCCCACAAAAATCTTTAGAGAAAGAGTTGGATAAGTTGTGGCTTTACCTGGAGTATTTATTTTAAATATATCTGTGATACGTGTGTTTGCATGTCAGGAGCTAAACCAATGTTTAAATATAATATTTCCACATAGACTATCCATGCAGTCTGCACAGATGACAAAAGACAGAGAGAGTAAGACGGAGGTTACCCATGGTTCAGGTAAAGCAAAAATCAAGAGAAACTTTAACTGTATTTGGCCCCTAAATGGACAGTGGTTTTGTAGCGCTTTTCTACTCAATTTGAACACTCTAAGCGCTTTCTTACAACAAGCCTCATTCACCCATTCATACAAACAGTTTTAACCCAACATTCACCCCTGACTGATGCATCGGGGTAACTCTGGATTCAGTATTTTGTGGGATCCAGGGATCGAACCACAAAACCTTCCAATTTACCCCCCTGGAGAACATTTCATTGATCATGGCAAAAGTCAGACATCACCGAGTTCAAATGTACTTTAAAAAGGCTTGCTGAAGCTGGGCAGTATTTAACCATAACAATCGCAAATAGGTAAATATGTGTATTTCATTTCTTTGCAGGGTGTTTTCCATTTTCGTTTATGTTGTCATGCACCATAGACGACAGTTTTGCATTAGATCAAGTATTGCAGAATCAATGTATCGTGGGAAGCTTCATAGTAGCATCATAAATCTTTCACTTCTCAGTGTCTACTGCTTTCACTCTATGATTAGTAGCAGATATTTTCTCATAAGGAACCACTTTTAGTAGCAAACCACGCAAAAAGTTTCAACCTGTGCTTAAAAATGACTTTATTCACCTGTTCTGGAAACAGTTTATACAGATCCATCTATCAGCTGATTCCCTGTTTTAAATAATAACTGATAATCTAGTTAATTATTAGCTGCAATCATTACACATGTCATTACAACATTAATGGAGGCTGTGCTGCTATACTGATGCTATAATAGTGATAAGTCCTGAAGATTCAGCTGTGTATAGTTTGTTTCTGAACTACGCCAGGCTTTTGAGTGTTGTGATGCATTAAGATAACAGGTCAGCCTTTGTAAGTCTGAAATCCTAAAATCCACGGCAGGACATTCCCTCCATCTGCACTAAGTTTACCCGGTGATGTTCAATGGCCATCACTCACTTACGTCGTAAACACAGTACAGTAAACGATGAGGCAGTTTTTAAGTGTGCAAATAGCTTGTGTTTCATCATAGATGCTTGGTTGTCACTTACAGGTAGTAGGTAGGGTAGGTGAAAGTACTGAGCCCGGTTGGGACGGCGGTCAGCCCTCTCCCGGAGCAGTCTGCACCCCCATCTTCATCGCAGCTGCATGAGAGCGAACAAACGGCCGTCGACTGCCCTTGACCGGTGGCACCGGGGCGAAGCAAACACCACAAACAGACCCAAAACAGATCCACACGCATTTTCTCCTCTTCGGTTCAGGTGGCAGCGACGGGAGAGGGGGGAAGAAGTGGGGCCTTTGTTTGCGGTTTAATCTACTCCGGACGTCGTCTTCTTCTCATGTGGTTTGGTAGGTTGTGAACCATGAAGAGGTGAAGCCTAACCGACGCTTTTCAAAACAAAACCCCAGCGGTTCAAACACTTCATACATTCACAACCCCGACCACAGAAAACGAAAAGCAAAAAAAAAATGTACCCACAAAAGCGTTTAGCTAGCTCAAAACACAAACACTGCCTTCGAAGACGGCCAGTTTACCTTGGTGGGAAACATTTCTCAACCCGTGTGTCGTATTAGTCCGTGAAAATAAAAGTAGCTCTGCTGGCGACAGGAGCGGTAGCGTACCTTGCGTTTTTTTTTTTGCGTTTTCGCTGTCCCATTAAATAACCCCCCCCTCTGTAAAAGAAAAGAAGAAGAAAAACACTAGCAGTGCTTGTTAGTGCGTCGCTGAAAGGCTGGTCCGGGGGGCAGTCAGGTCTTCAGCTAAACATAGCGGACGTTTGCGTCCGGGTTTGTTTCATTGCGGGAGATCACCGTCAGTTTTCAGCCATTCCTCACGTTCCTCTCCTCTGCTCCTGACATCAACAGCATGCTTGTAGCTCGGCAGGCACCCTACCGGACAACCTGCAGCACTGGGCCCGGCCTGTGTAACACTGAAACCTGCACCACCGCATCAGGCAGCCAACCACTGCACACTCCCCCACTACACACACACACACACACACACACACACACACACACACACACACACACACAAAAGTCAGGTAAAAGTGCTCACACATGCATGGAGGACCAGTACGGCTGCAAATTTTCTTGCATGATTGTGCTGCTGTGCATAGCCAGCTGCTTCTTCAGCCTTTCAATTGTATATAAGCATGAAAACTTCTCAAGAGTAATCGTGCAGTAAACATGTGTAAACATGCGCGCAACATGCATTAATGTACTTTAATGGTTGTTACATGCACAGGTAGTTCATGATGCAAATACACAACCCAGTCTTATATATGTAGTTTTACATTATATTTAAGATAAGATATAAATTATTATACAGTTAGAACATCTCTGAATAATCATCACCAATCCAAAAGATTGTTTTTTAAAATAATTTCAAATTCAAATTTTATTTGTCACACACACAACCATACACAGTATGACATGAGGTGAAATGCTTGTAGCTGTGCAATGCAATGCCTGACCATTAAATGACAGTAATTTATTAGTAGTATAATGTAAGTAATCAGTTCATGATACATTTATAATTAAAAAGCTGCTATTTTAGCAGTAATGAATCTTTTAAAAAGTTTTTTTAAAAGTCCACAATATTTGCGAAATATTGTGTTTATAGCACAGTAACACATCCAGGTGCAGTCTTTTACATAATATATTTATTATGTAAGATTTTTATCTTGGATGTAACAGGTAATGTAGTACAAGTATGTGATTTACCAAAATGGGAATAAGCACATGTCATTCTGCTTTAACTACTTTACACTTTGAATGTAGTGACTGGGCACCAGTAGTTTTGCTCACTAATCTGCCCTGACAGATAATTGACTGGGTGTATACTTGTCAAAGTAGATTTACTACGTACAGAGTTCACTTGAGATTGCATTATACATGCATGGATGAGCCAGGTAACTGTGCATGCAGTGGAGGATGTCAATAAATGTAGATATCATTGTAAACATATAGCGAGAATTAGTTTCAAATCATATGACAACAATCACACATAAATGTATTTTTTTAAAGTGTGCATGTTTTTTCTTTCAAACCTCAGAAATGTGACGATTAAGGGAAAAGTAATACTGTGAAGGCAGGGTCAAAGACTCCTTGTTTTAAAGGGATTACATATTGTTGTTTTTAGGGTTTTTTTTTTTATCATCTTGTCTGTTAAATGTGCAAGAGACAGGAAAGCACTCTAACGAAGCATAAATCAACAACTCCCATCAAAGAGCTTTGAGCAAGAAAACAGTAAACCGCCAACAGCTCCTGCCAAACTATTTTGCAGACCACAGCTTTTCCCTGAAGTGCTTTGTGTGTCTGTGTGTCATTAAAATGTGGGCATGTTGTAAATAACTAATCAGCTAGACTTGGCCTGCTGAATTTGGGAAAAACTACAATTCTAAAGAATAAGGATAATAGTGAAATGTAACATTTTAATGACCAAGTGAGTTTCAGATGATTTACTGCCTGTGTTAGGTTTTAATGCTTACACAAAGTGCGATCAAAAAGTTTCACAACTGTGAAAAATAAAAAGCAGAAACTATAGGTACATTTCATGAGTCCATTATCTGCACTTTTCCGCGCGTATATAAAACCATAGTAAATCAAATCAAATCAAATCACTTTTATTGTCACATCACATGTGCAGGTACATTGGTACAGCACATGTGAGTGAAATTCTTGTGTGCGAGCTTCACAAGCAACAGAGTTGTGCAAATACAATAATGTAAACAAGCAAAATACAAGAATGGCTACATCTGAAACTAATAAATATATGTACAATATATAATAGTATATGCATTTCTGGATGTGTATACTAAATATTTTCTACGTGTGTGTGTGTGTACACATATTTTACAAATTAAATAGAGTAAACAATAAATAAAATATATAAAAATATACAGAGTTGAGACATGTGCAAAACAGTGGCATTACTGTACAGTATGGAGTGCATAATGTTAAAGTTCCAGTAGTGAAGCTGAGGTGTCTATGACGTGTTCAGCAGTCTGATGGCCTGGTGGAAGAAGCTGTCTCTCAGTCTGCTGGTACGGGACCGGATGCTGCAGAACCTCCTTCCTGATGGAAGCAGTCTGAACAGTTTATGGCTGGGGTGACTGGAGTCCTTGATGATCCTCCCCGCTTTCCTCAGGCAGCGCTTCCTGTAGATGTCTTGGAGGGAGGGAAGCTCACCTCCAATTATCCGTTCAGAGCACCGCACTACTCGCTGGAGAGCTTTGCAGTTGTAGGCGGTGCTGTTGCCATACCAGGTGGTGATGCATCCAGTGAGGATGCTCTCAATGGCACAGTGATAGAAGGTCCTGAGGATGCGGGGGCTCATGCCGAATCTTTTCAGTCTCCTGAGAAAGAAGAGGCGCTGCTGCGCCTTCTTCACTGTTTTGTTTGTGTGTACTGACCACGTAAGATCCTCAGCCAGATGTACACCAAGGAACCGGAAGCTGCTCACTCTCTCCACAGCAGCGCCGTTGATGGTGATGGGGGTGTGTACTTCTCTGCACCTCCGGAAGTCCACTATCAACTCCTTTGTCTTTGCGACGTTGAGGGTGAGATGGTTGTCTTGACACCAGTGGGTCAGGGCGCTGACCTCCTCCCTGTAAGCCGTCTCATCACCATTGGTGATAAGACCCACCACTGTAGTGTCGTCCGCAAACTTCACAATGATGTTGGAGTTGTTAGTGGCTGTGCAGTCGTAGGTGTAGAGTGAGTACAGGAGAGGGCTCAGTACACACCCCTGTGGAGCACCAGTGTTCAGTGTGATGGGGGATGAGGTGATGCTGCCCAGTCTGACCACTTGGCGTCTGTCAGACAGGAAGCTAAGGATCCAGCTGCAGAGGGAGCTGCTCAGTCCTAGATCCTGCAGTTTCCTGTCCAGCTTCGAGGGAACGATGGTATTGAATGCTGAGCTGTAATCTACAAACAGCATTCTCACATACGTGTCTCTCTTCTCCAGGTGTGACAGGGCAGTGTGTAGTGTCAGGGCTATGGCATCATCAGTGGACCTGTTGTGGCGGTATGCGAACTGTAGAGGGTCCAGTGAGTCGGGTAGTGCAGAGCAGATGAAGTCCCTGACCAGCTTCTCGAAGCATTTGCTTACGATGGGGGTCAGGGCTACAGGTCGCCAGTCGTTCAATGAGGAGATGGTGGAGGATTTGGGTACAGGGACGATGGTGGCCATTTTGAAGCAGGCTGGGACTACAGACAGAGAGAGGGAAAGGTTGAAGATGTGTGTGAACACTCCAGCCAGCTGAGCCGCGCATGACTTGAGGACGCGGCCGGGAATCCCGTCCGGACCAGTAGCTTTGCGTGCGTTCACCTTCCTGAAGCACTTCCGCACATCCTCCTCAGACACAGTGTGCGCACTGACGTCATCCGCGGTGCGCACACTGTCCGGTCTCATGGTGTTCGCTGTGTCGAATCTAGCGTAGAATACGTTTAGATCCTCACACAGAGAGGCCGTGGTCTGCGGTGTGCTGGTTTTCCCTCTAAAGTCTGTGATCGTGTTTAGTCCCTGCCACATACTCCGAGGGTTGTCAAACTGTTGCTCCACCCTGTCCCTGTACTCACGTTTGGCTGCTTTGATCGTCTTCCAGAGTTGGTAATGTGCGTGTTTGTAGTCCGATGTGTTCGCGGAGGCAAAGGCGGTGCTCCGTGCCGCCAGTGCCGGCGAACATCTCCGTTAATCCAGGGTTTTTGATTTGGGAAGGATTTAACTGTTCTGGATGGGACGACATCTTCCACGCATTTCCTGATAAATCCACAGACTGAGTCTGTGTATTCATCAATGTCTCTGGCGGCCACGTGAAACATTTCCCAGTCCGCGTGATCAAAACAGTCCCGCAGCGCAGACTCCGATTGGTCCGTCCAACAGTGCACCGCCCTCCGGGTTGGAGCTTCCTGTTTCAGCTTCTGCCTGTAGGCGGGCAGGAGCAGGATGGAGCGGTGATCTGATTGGCCGAATGGGGCGCGGGGGAGGGCTTTGTACGCATCCCGGAAAGAGGTGTAGCAGTGGTCGAGTAGCCGGTCTCCACGAGTGTTAAAATGGATGTGTTGGTGGAGTTTGGGTGAGACTTTCTTCAGGTTTCCCTTATTAAAGTCTCCGGCTGTGATAAACGCTGCCTCTGGGTGTGCGGTTTCCTCGCTGCTGATCGCGCTGTACAGTTCCCTGAGTGCTCGGTCAGTGTCGGCTTGTGGGGGAATGTAAACAGCCGTAATAATCACTGCTGTAAATTCCCTCGGTAGCCAGAATGGCCGGCACTTAATCATCAGGTACTCCAGGTCCGGTGAGCAGAAGGATTTGACCGGGTGCACGTTCGCATAATCACACCAGCTGTTGTTGATCATGAAACACACACCACCGCCTCTGCTTTTCCCAGTAAGATCCTGTGACCTGTCCGCGCGATGCACGGAGAACCCCGGTAGTTGTATTGCGGAGTCCGGTACCTTGTCCGATAGCCAGGTTTCTGTGAGGCAGATCACGCAGCAGTCCCGCATCTCTCGCTGGAATGAGATCCGTGCCCGAAGCTCGCACAGCTTGTTCTCCAGAGACTGCACATTAGCCAGTAATAAACTGGGTAACGGTGGTCTGTTAGTGCGCCGTCTCAGTCGAACCAGAACGCCAGATCTTCTCCCTCTGCGTCGGCGTTTGCGGCCTCCAGGGCCAGAGAACAAAGGCGTCTCAGGTGAGATGAATGGGGGGTCTGCAAACGGAGCGTCCGTGTTGCAAAACTTGAACTCCGGAAAGTTATAAGAAAGACCGTCTTTTATGTCCAGTAAGGTTTGTCGGTCGTACACAAGGAGACATGTGCTACTCGTGAAAAAATGAAGGAAAAGTAAAATTAAACACAGAAAAAAGCTGTTGCTTGGGGGAGCTCGCGACGAGGCTGCCATACTCGGCGCCATCTTGAACATCTTGGACGTAAAGGGACCTCTGGCTAATTCATCCGGTTCCATGT